CTAATTCTACGAACGCTCCCAAGTTAAAGACTCCATCCTTTGATGGCACTATTCCTTTCCAGGTCTTTAAGCTCCAGTTTGAGAAGACAGCTACAGCAAATCACTGGAGCATGGAGGATTAATCCGCTGCTCTGTTTGTTGCATTAAAAGGACCTGCAACGGAAATCTTGCAGACTATTCCTGACTGTGAAAGAAACATTTACGATCCATTGATGGGGGCCGTGGAAAGACGCTATGGTAGCGAGCACAGGCGACAGATCTACCAGATTGGACCAAAAATTCAACGAGACTACAGGAATTCGCCTCAGAGATCGAGAGGTTGGCTCACTTGGCTATTGGAAACGCACCTGGTGAACACCTCGAAAGGGTGAAGACCCAGAGGTTCATCACCGGAATGCGGGACATGTATACTAAGCGAGAGACGTACGCGAATCCAAAGCCAACATTTGCTAAAACCGTCTCGTATGCTCAGACGCGCGAAACGGCGGCGCTCCTAAGTAGACCAGCATACAAAGCACATCGGGTGCAAGTGGAAACACCGTACGAGACAAATCAAATGCTGAAGAAGATTATCCAACTGCTGGGCGAAAAAAAGCATGGCTCTGGAAAATGTTTTAAATGTGGAAAGCCAGGCCATTTCGCCCGCGATTGCAGCGCAAGTTCCAGTGGGCTTAACAATTCTGCAGGACATACACGCAGGGCTGAAGGAGACGAATCTAACTCCAATCAGTTGTTAAATTAAAACGAGCCAGCAGGAACGGCCGCGTGCTGACTCTAAAAGTTCAAGGGCCCATATTCTCCGACTCACAAATTGGCCGAAATGCGAGCAACCTCACTATCGGTGGATGTGTGAATGGGCAGGAGCGAGTGCTGACAGTGGATACTGGAGCGTCACATTCCATTATTCGACCTGATGTGGCTACTTTTTATGTGAAGCCACTACCTGGAGCAAAGCTGCAGACTGCAACTGGTGAGCGAACCCAAGTGTTAGGAGAAGTACTATGCGAGGTAATAATCGACGGGCTGGCCTCGCACACGAAGTTTATTGTGGCAGACATTGCGGATGAAGTCATCATCGGCGTGCATTTCCTACTTGGGCAAGGCATGAAGATTGACCTCCAGGGAATGATCCTAACCTATGGCCACAGGAAAGTGCCACTTAGGGTTGGTTACGACAACCAGTGCTGCAGCAGACGGTTGGTCTTAGAGGAAGTGCCGAAGATTCCACCAGAAACGGAAGTGGTTAGTTGGGCAGAGGTTGACAGTGATGGAGACGAAATGGTTTCGTCGGGAGAAGGAAGTGGTTCACCGATACAGGAAAAGCGTGATGGTTCCGCCAGCTCAGTGAAGAAGAGGTCGCAACAAGGAAGTGGTCATGGCGACCCAGGCAGTGTTTCCAGCAGGAGGAAGGCCACTGAACCACGTTACATAGGTGATACGCCGGTGGCTGGAAATGGAAGTGGCTGTGGAAGCAGTGGGCGCGCTTTGAAGTGTCCCGAAAAAGGTGGTCGGCAAAGGCGAGCATTTAAGCCGGAAGCCATGTCCGGTCAATGAAGTTAGCATCGGCGGAAGAGCGAGATACGAAACGACGGCGGAAGTTTCAGCATAAGGATCCGGATGTAGCAAGATGTGCTAAAGGCAGTGCAGCACGAAGGCAGGAGTCTGGGTGTCATGGACAGATGATGCGGCATAGATCTGGCAAAAAGGGTTCCCACGAGAGGAGATATGGTCTGGTCACAACCAGTGGCCGGCAGAAGCACGACCATGTGAAATGGTGCACCACCGGAGATAAGCTGGAAGCAATGTCCAGTAACGCATTGTGGTTGTACATGTCGCAGCAGAAGAAAAGCTTCACCTCCAAGCAAAGATGTGACTGGAAAGATCCGTTTAAGATTGACAAACGGCTGAAGGACGCAGTGCATCGAATCCAGACAATGGGGAGACCGAGGACCGAGATGAAAGTGGTCCACTTGGAAAGACTTGCAGCGGTTGGAGCGGCAAGTGTGTCTGATCGGGACGATCAGACTTAGGTGGAGGACAGTGTGGCGAATACTGCGGCAACGCGAAGCGAACAACGACAAATAGGCAGAATGTTCGAGGAATGACGTAGAATGTTCCAGAAAGAGAAACGTCAAGTTGGATAAACACTGCGAACAGCGAGAGAAAGAGAATGAGCGATGAACTTCAGAACATTCTAGAGTTGCCATGAGTGCGAGCGCAGGTATATAAGGGACACGACACAGCGGAGTTGGGGAGTTACAAGTCAGCAAGCTACAAGTAAAGTGAGTTGCAAATAAGCAAGCTTGTGTTAACTAGTTTTGTAAAGCGTCGTAATTACTTAAACAAGTATTGTAAAGTGTTGTTGTACAATAAAGTTAATTGTACTGTAATTTGGTCATCGTAAGCATTTATTTAACAATCCAGAGATACAAACCGAAACACTTGGGATTATCAAGGATAATCGTAACAGTATTATGCTACCAGTATTTGTGATCTCTTGGTCGTTTCCTGCAGCAGGCGAACCTACTGAATTTTTATACTTTTTCTCATTTCCATTGATATTCGAATCTAAGCTTTGACTCTCCAGCGGATCAAGTAAATTTTCTGAAATGTCTGGATCATTTGTATTTGCTGTACTACAAGCAACAATTTGATTTGCATGACGTTTCCATATTTTTTCCGAAGCTATGATTTTTACCCTGAATGTCTGTTGGCCTAGTTTTTCAACTGACCCTTCCCGGTATAGAGTAGTCCTTAACAATAGCTTGATCCCCGTTTTTAAATTTGTTTCTTTTATTACCACGATAATGAACTCTCTGTTTAACTTGCTGATCCTTCACCTTTTCTCTTACAGAGGTATCGGGTTTGCGATCAGCTTCTCGCATTGGGTCCAAAATATCTAACCGAGTGCGTAGTTGCGTGCCAAACATAAGCTGCGCTGGAGATACACCTGTGCTACTGTGCACCGCATTACGATAGTCCATTAGAAACTTATTTAAAACATAGAAATCTGCTTCCCTGGTTTGATACAAGCCTCTCTTTAACGACGCTTTTATTACTTTCACACAATTTTCGGCTTGGCCGTTGGTAGCAGGGTGACCTACCGGTGAAGTTATGTGCCTAATGGAATTTCTTTCCAAAAAAAATTGGAATTCCCCCGACATAAAAGCCGTCCCGTTATCAGAAACTAAGATTTCCGGCAACCCAAAACGAGCAAAAATTTGTTTTAGCACCCTTATAGTCGCCTTGCTCGTCATATTTTTGCCCATGTCGATGTACTCGATCCATTTGCTATAGCTGTCCACTACGATTTAACACCATCGATTCATAAATGGTCCAAAGAAATCAATATGCACCCTCGTCCACGGATTTTCTGGCCAGTTCCATGACTTAAGAATTTGCTTCGCCGGATCCGGCCGTAACATTCACAAGCTTTACAAGACTTGGTTTCCTTCTCAATTTCTGCACCTTTAGTTGGCCACCAGCAACACTCTCGGGCCATTCCTTTCATCTTAGCAATACCGAGATGAGAAGCCATTCCTTTCATCTTAGCAATACCGAGATGAGAAGCATGAAGGTATTGTACAACTTCTGATTGTAACGATCTAGGAAGTATCAACCTATGTCCCCAGAAAACACAGCCCGCATGGGAAGATAATTCCAGCCTCCTGTCAAAAAATGGGCGCAAGGCGTTATCTGCACATACACTGGGCCACCCTGGCCTTATGAAATCGCAAACCATTTGTAGCAACTTGACTTTTTGTGTTTCCGTCCTAATTTTTTCAATATTTATGACTTCCGAGGGGTTCCTAGAAAAATAATCGGCAATGTTCGTCTTGGACTTAACTATATGTTGACTTTATCGAAGGTATATCCAGATAACGCTAATGCTATCCTCTGCGGCCTATTTGCAGCCTGTACTGGAGTTCCCTTTTTTAGGTCAAAAATATGATGCAAAGGTTTATTGTCTGTCACCAGTGTGAAGAATCCGCCGTACAAGAAACGATGAAACTTTTTGACACCGTATAGGATTGCCACAGCCCCGCGATCAAGCTGCGAATAACTCTGTTCTGTTTCCGATAACCTATGCGATGCAAATTCTATAGGCCTTACAATGCCTTGTGCTGTAACTTGTGACAATACTGCCCCTACTCCCACCGGGCTAGCATCTACCCTGAGTTTGATCTTTAGCTGGGGGTCAAAGTGTGCTAAACACGTATCTTGTTTTAGCCCTGCTTTTAACGCGGCAACCGCTTGCTTACATTGCTTGGACCACACGAATTCGGTGTTTGCTTTGAGCAATTCATATAACGGAGCACACACTTTTGCTACATCTGGTAGGAATCGACGGTAAAAATTTATCTCGCTTAAAAATCCTTTAAGCTCTTTAACTGACTGTGGATACGACATGCGATCGATTTCACGTGTTTTGGCTGACTTCGGATGTAACCCTTCTTTATCTATAATATGCCCTAAGTACTCTACCCGTTTGCAGCAAAACTGACACTTATTTTTCGCTAGTTTCAATCCGGCATTTTGCAACATTTTCAAAACTCCTTCAAGTCTTTTCAAATGTATTTCTCGGTTGGGGCCGTGATTAAAATGTCGTCCAAGAATATTACTACCCCTTCTAAATGCATCAAGAGGCCCTCCATAATTTTTTGGGAAAATTTCTGGAGCGGACGCCAACCCGTAAACAAGCCTAGTGTACAGAAACAGCCCCCTCGTAGTCGCAATCGTTGTCAACTTGCGTGATTCGGCCTCGAGTTCTATCTGCTGATAAGCTGTTGATAAGAGTTTTGTAAACTCTTCCCACCCATGAAGTTTTGCAAAGAGATCTTCGATCTTCGGTTTAACTGATATTTTGAAATCCCCGCAGATTCTAACCCCCCGT